TGTAAGTCTTCCAACCTTCTAGATATTCCTTTATATGTGGTTCAGAGTACTGGGACCATTCCCTGAGCCTTCTTGGTCCTGTATTCTGTGTTGTTCTTGGCAGAGCTCGTCACTACACTTCCACCTGATCCGCCATCTTTTTCCCGAAGGCTTGATGTGAAAAATAATTTTTTAGGCCCCGCCTGCTCGGCAGCGGAGGCGGCGGCGGTGGCAGCGGTTGTCCCTGCCTTTCCGCCTCCTCCACCCTGGCCTATTCCTTGGCTGGTGACGTTAGCGGGGAGGGGGACAGTAGTTGTAGACGCCCACCCCTGCCTCAGAGAAGTTCTCTGGTTGCTGCACAATCTCACTGTGTGGGAAGTTCATGCTGAAAAGCTGAAGCAACTAATGAGCAAATATGACCACAGTTCTCCACCAAGTTCTCAGCCTGACAAACAGAGTCACTTGCTGTCACCTTAATGACGCATTCAAAGAAGACATATGACTCTTTCCAAGATGAACTTGAGGATTATATACAAGTGCAGAAAGCCAGAGGCTTAAAACCAAAGACTTGTTTCAGAACAATGAGTGAGGGCTATTTAGAAACCTTTGGGTACAAAGAAGAGGTTGATTCCAGACCCAGATACAGAATGTCTAATCAAGCACTCCCATCTGAAACTGTCCAGACTTACACACGGTCATACAATATTCCACCAACATTGGAAAACCGGTTACCTCAGCGGCTACCAGCTCATGACAGCAGACTGAGACTAGACTGTCCAGGCTACTGTCAACTCACCAGGGACTATTCCTTAGAAAAACCAGTAGCCTTGGACCTTAGTCAGCAAGAATTGAATTGTGGCTCATACAGTGGAGAACCTGGAGGTTACAAGCACTTCTCAGAAAACAGTACCAGTGCCCATCAAGCCAGTCGTAAACAAAAGAGAAAAAGGCACCCTGAGGAAGGCAGAGAAAAACCGGAGCAAGTGCGGCCCAAGCATAAGATGAAGAAAAGTTACGAGGAAATGGATTTAGACAAACCCCAGAGTGTCCCAGGGAAGAAGGTAGAGGTGGGAACAGTCAGTGTCAGTACAGAAAAGCTTAAGAATAGAAAGGAGAAAAAAAGCCGAGATGCATTCTCTAAGAAAGAGGAACGTAAATGTAGAAAAGAGAAAAAGGATCAAGGCCAAGAAAGGAGAGAGGAGGGAATGTTGTGGGACCAGTCTGTCCTTGGATTTTGAAACACCTTAGTGGGTTCTCCTGAGATTGAAGTGAAAAAAATAGTTTGAGGTAGTTTGGTTTCATGAAGTTCACATTGATATCACTCTTCTTATATGAACAGGTTCTTTAACCTCTAACAAAGGCCAATGAAATGGATGGAGAGTAGTCAGTATGCTTATTCTCCAACACAAAAA